CTGAACAGCCACGACATGTCCTCAACGAACATGGCAACACTCTCGTTCGGACGCTGATTTCGGGAATTGAGGAGCCGTTGCGCTTACTTCTTTCGGTCAGAGCTTCGGAAGGTATTCCGCAACTGGTTTCAAAACTCTGGCCAGGTTGTCATAGCGGCTTCATGGTTTTTGAACCAATTGCGCGCAGAGCCCTCGAGGTAAAAGTAGACATACCGAAGCTTTCGCTGCTCGTTCCACTCGTTGACACTGGTGAAATTGTTGTAGTAATCAAGCCAATCGTCGACCTCCTCGTAAGGGTCACCGTGGAACAGCTTCGGGGTTCGCGGGGCGTTGAAGAACCATGGAGGAGGCAGCATCGATGTCTCTTGGGTTTGCGTTCCTGCACTAGCCATAGTACCGCTGAGTTGTGGAAGTGGTCCCAGGTGGTAGGCCTAGTTGTCGCCTGCTACGCCGTAAGTCAGCTGGTTCTTCCAAATCGCGACTAGTGTCGGGATCTTGCTGCTGATTTCAGTGCATACAACAATACCCAGCACCTCCACCAGAAAATGTCATGGAATTACAAAAAGACCACAACGTCTGTTCACAGGAGCAGCAGCACTGGACGTCGAGCCGAACCGAACGTTAGACCACGAGCACAACAAACAGTCCTCTTCTTTTTCACAAAATGGCACGTACTCGCATTGGCATGGCTCAACTTCGTTCCATGCCTGTGGCAATATGTTGTTGCAAATGGCAGCAGCATGTCAGTGTCTTATGTTCGGCACCACGCATGGGAATAATATAAGGCCTCGGAGTGCAAGAGCTAAACTGTGCGGCCCAGTTTTTGAAGTGTAGCTTGTTACAAGGTGCTGGCGTAACTTATTACACAGCTCGCACGTTTCTGTTATGTACTGACATGTGCTTATTGACACTCGGATAGGAGTTTGATCGCACGTTGGTTTTGCTATCTAAGTGACTTGGCGAGTGTGGAACCAGGAAAAAAAAAAAAAAATCTCCCCGCAGGGGGGGGGCGCCTGTGAAAGCAGGCGTTTGGTGTGTAGCGACACCACGGACCCGAGCTAACGGGGAGTTTATACTCCCTCCCACGCCTAGCCGTGCGTGGCTTTGCCGTGTCCGGGGGAAAGGGGATCCTGGGGGTTGAGCCGACGCTGGGTGCTTGGACCTTTAAGGCCCCCCGGCAGAGGCAACACACCCCTTTGGCCCTGGCTTCACGTAGACGGCACCCCCGTATTGACCCGCCTGGGGGGAATCGGCAGTCGCCTTTTCCTATCTCTCTCTCCCTACATCTTCGCCTTTACCTCTCACTTTTTATCTATCCTGTCTTCTAGTCTCTTCCGTTTACTTCCAAACTTCCTGGCGGCTAGGGTTAACCTTGTGTAGTTACCCAACCTTGGGTAGTTATATCTGGTTATAGCGGCGATGTATGACTGGCGCCTTCAAGTGTTCTACCTTGTAGCGTCCCCCTGTTGGGCTCGGTGGTGGGTGGTCACATTCGCCGCCGAACATATAATGCACCACATGGTCAAATCTTTCCCCCTTCTCAATGATCAGTCCCTTAAAAAGAACCGCACCGATGAAAGCTCCAAACGAACTGGAAGCGATAATGACCACTTCCCACGCTTCCTAGTCATACACTCTCTGGCAGATAACGTCTCTGTTGCAGGACTGTCGGTTTTCCTGATAGCTAAAACCCTTGCTAACTTAATAGGCAAAAAGTACGACGCAAAGAAACTGTCATCCAATGATCTTCTTGTTGAAGTAAGCCAGAAAGAGCATGCAAACACTCTCCTTAAACAGAAGCAGTTCGCCCACCTGAATGTGTCTATCACCCCCCATCGCAGTCTTAACACTGTTCAAGGTGTCATTTCACAACGTGATCTGATGCGAGAAACTGAAGCTGACCTCCTTGAAGGCTTTCGAGAGCAAGGCGTAGTCGCCATTCGTCGGATAACCATCAGGCGAAACAATGAAGAAGTGGTGACGCCTCATAAAGTACTAACATTTAACCGCGCCATCCTGCCAGAATCTGTGAAAGCTGCGTTCCTTCACTGCAAAGTCCGCCCCTACATACCCAACCCTAGAAGGTGCTACAAATGCCAGAAATATGGACATGGGTCGAACACCTGTCGCGGAAAACAAACATGTGCAAAATGTGGTGACCATGAGCACCCAACCGAGAGCTGTACTTCCACGCAAACAGAGTGCCCCAACTGTCACGGGCCGCACGCAGCATACTCGCGGACATGTGAAATTTTCAAAAAGGAAAAGGAAATCATCCAGATAAAAGTAACGGAAAACATCACATTCTCTGAAGCCAGGAAGAAGGTGTCGCTCTTCTCCGGAAGAACGTACGCTGACGCAGCGCGCCGGGGGGCCGGGCGGCGTCTAGTGACGGTGGGCACGCAATACAGCTTTTCTGATGCGTGCACATCTCTGCCTCCCACCAAGCAGCCACAGGCTGCACCAACCTCTCACGTCCCGGAGGTCGAACTTCATCAGACCCCAGGGACCACACAGACAACTGAGACACCTGTCTCTTCTGACAAACCTCCATTAGCTTCTGAGGGTCCACGGGAGGCAATGGAAGTGACACCAGGATCCTCAGCGTCTAAGATGCTGACGGAATCATCCCAAGTGAGGCGGGGCTCCATAGATCGCCTCAGAGGGAAAAAACACCCGCCAGTGAAGCCTCCTAATAAAGGTAGCGAAGTGTGAATAAGTCACGCTCTTTTCCTCATTCATAAAAATGGCTGCCGAAAATATTATCCAATGGAATTGGCGAGGCTTACTTAAGAACTTAGACTACATCTATGAAATATTTGCACAACACCAACCAAACATACTTTGCTTACAGGAAACACACCTAAAACCTACACACACTAGCCTTTTGAAAAGATATGTGGTATACCGAAAGGACAGACAGGGCACTCCCCATTCATCTGGTGGTGTCGCTATCGTGGTACAGAAAGCAGTTCCGTCTCAAAGCCTCACTCTGATTACTGACTTAGAAGCAGTGGCTATACGAACCCTAATTTTTGGACGAGTAACAACCGTGTGTTCACTATACATCCCTCCAGACTACCAACTCTCTACTAAGGAATTTGAAACACTCATAGACCAGCTTCCGCATCCATTTCTGTTGGTCGGAGATTTTAACGCGCACCACCCTTTATGGGGATGTAGAAGAACGGATTCTCGAGGCTCCTTAATTGAAAACTTTCTGTTGTCCTCCGGCTCCTGTATATTTAATAAAAAAGAGCCAACATACTTTAACGCAGCGCACAACTCATACACAGCAATAGATCTTGCTATCGGATCTCCTTCACTCTTGGCAACCACTGAGTGGGCTGTTATTCAAAACCTCTATGGAAGTGATCATTTTCCTGTTTGTCTAAAATACAAAGGAAATACGAGTACAATGCAAGGGCAACACACAAGGGCAACACAACGAACAACAAGCAGCGTGGACAGCTGCTTGCAGACAAGAAGTCGTAGGCTTTTGCTCGTCTAATCACAATATGTTTGGATCGGCGCGTCACAGATATTGGAACGGCCCGTTACGCAGAAGCACGAAAGGCCTGAAAAGGAGGAGGCATTGTTTCTTGAAATTTATGGCACGCCAAGGGCTCGTAGCGCTGCCACATGTAGAATTGTTGATCGCGGCGGCATTCTGCACACAATGCGCGTGTTTACTTGGAACATTTGAAAAAAAAATATTGGAGGTGGTTTATGGGCCCATTAAAAGTTAAAAGTAACAAAAACGGTTATGTTGCGCAGCCTAGCAGAAGATCCTTGGAGATGAGTAATGGAGTATGGAATCTATCACTTTGCTGTATGTAGTTGTGTAGTCTGATGCTGTCATGCGTGCCAGTCCTGAAAATTAGAGTACGTATATTATTATCTAGCCTGCTGAATGCTGCGCTATTTGCGATGTAAACGGAATTGCACTTTGAGAAGTGGCACTGCCATCGCTGCGGTCAGTGGACCAAGTTGAGCCACATTCCATGCGTACTGAGTGCACGCATGTGAAGTTAACTACCGCGCTTGAACACAGGCCACTCTCGTGCTCACGGTTTGCAGCATGCGAGTATACGACTTCATATTCACTGCAGATTGAAAAATTTTGATTACAATTATTTCACGGCATTTTCAACTTTATTGTTCCATGATTAGATTCACGGACTGGTAAGCTTTTCGTTGCGCTTAAAAAGATACACACCATAAAAATTGCTTTGTCGGTATCTTATAGCGCGACTCTTATGCTCTATCATGTTGCCTACTGAAGATGTACGCTGGATGGGTTCTTTGAAATTTTACAAAAATTGGTTTGCCTCAAGGTCCTTCATTGAACTTATTGTGCTGATTCGTGCTTGGTAAAGTATTTGTATAATGCTTAGTTTTCTTATTCATAAATGTTAGGCATAAGTGCTATGCCTGCATTCTAAAATGCAGCCTATGTAGAGCTCTCCAACTACCAAGGTTACAGTACTCAGAGTTGCTTTGCTTGGTAAGCCAAAGTTCACTACCTGTTCTGGGTCATGTCCTGCTGGAAGCACAAGCGAAACCAATGAATACTTAGGCCTGAATCTTCACCCCATCGAGTTGATATTTTTGATGTCTTTCTTTTGTGTGCTAGAAGAATATTTACCACAGTGAAGACAATGTTTTGGTTTTGAATTTTGTATTCTAATGTTTCTTTAGTCTTCAAAAATACTTGGACATTCTGGGTCTATGAATAAATGTTAAACTTTTTTTTTTTTTACGCAACTACCTTTTTAGAGGGGTTGTGAAGGCGCTATTATGTTGAACGTGTTTCATAGTAGAAAAATCAATAAAAAGGTTGCAGAAATGTGTTCAAGAACACATTTATTTGTTATGTTGGTTGATATTCTCCATTAGTCATGCACAGTTTACTCCAGAAATGTGTCAGTTTTGTTCTGTGCAGAAGAATTCATAGGCCAAGAGTTGCTTCTGATCTTTTTTGTGTTTTCTTTTTTAAGGACTACCCTAAGCTGAGTCAAGCCTACTATGTGCTGCTTGAGTGCTTGGCACAGGACCACATGCATTTCCTGAGCAACCTAGAGCCTTCTGTGTTCCTTTACATTCTGTCATCTGTCTCTGAAGGATTGACTGCCCTAGGTATGTGTTTCATGCTTTTAGCAAATTGATATTTGAGTCCACAAATGCACAGATAGTGAAGAAAATGAGAAAATGTGAAGATTGTGGAATACAATGACAGGTGTCATGCTATTGGTCAACTGGTTACTTGAGAAACCTTATGCATATGCATTGTGCTAAGGCTGTAAAACGTGAACTGGGCTGCAAATTAGGGCTAAAGGATCGTTCATACTTGTGACTCTCAGTCACAAATGGCTGTTTTTTTTTTTGCCGAACACCTGCATTGGTTTACTCATTTGCTGCTTGATTAGTCGCATGACTGCAGTTGCGAACCTCTGAACCAGTCAGATTCACAGGAACATGTCCACTTACTTTACGAGGCAATTGCAGTAGTGGTTTTGTGTGTGGACATAAATTCTGTGGTGCAATGGTATAGGTTGTGCACGCTAGTGTGAACATCGATCGCCATTTTCAAATGGTCTCATGACTGATACTAGTCAAAGGTATGAACAAGTATTAAAGGGACACTAAAGGAAACTATTAAGTCGACGTTGATTTTTAAAATAGCGGTCCATAAACATAGTGTTACTTTTGTGCCAAGGAATAGCTTATTGTGAAATGAAATCACGTTTTAGTGGTCTGCACCAGGTTAGCGCACTTAAATCACCCACCTCAAGAAGGGCTCTGTCTAACATCACTGTCGCCATGCACAACGCTGCCCGGCTTTACTGCGCGGCCGCCAACACTAGTAGCAGCAGAACGAAAGCAGCGGAGTTGATCGATTTCCTGTCATTGGTTCCGAGATGGCAGACATGTTGTTGTCGAACTGGGCCCCGCTGGATGGCACGACTCGTCCAGTTCGCCTACGCGAAATTTGAATTTTTGAACCACTTGCGCCATTTTTCATAGTAACGTCCGGCAGTTCTTTTTTTCCATGAATCAACAGAAATGAACAACCAGCATTTTATTGCGTTTGCACAAAAGGTTTAGTGCAGCTAGATCGATTATTAGTGATTAATTGTCTGACGTCATTGGGATCATTTTGGGAATGTCCTACTGCAGCGCATGTATTCTTGTGCATTTACCTTAATTTCTGGGTAAATAGGGCACTGCTGTTGATAACATTGTTTTTTTAGATGTAGTCATACATTGAGCTTTCAATCTGAGGCAATTTGTTATTTGATTGTAGTGTCTTTTTAACAGCCCATGTAAATATTCTAGCATAAGTGGCGCAAATCCTGGGCTTCATGTCCATGTTTGTGATTTTAAAAAAAGTGCTTTTTTCGGTTTTATTCTTCTTACCCCTTGTATTTGCACAAAATAATCAGCTTCATTAAAACTGTAAGAATGAAGCAGGGTGTTCTTTTTTTAGAAAACATAGTTTTTTAAATAAAAATGCCATGCCAGCAAGGCACCTGTCTTCGAACACGAACCTCACGACGAGGTGGAAATACATTGCTGACTTAAAGTTCTTTTGAAATGATTAATTAACTCTCATTAACTTTTCAATTATTATGTTGAGGGCAGTTATTTATAAAGAAAAGTTGTTTGGCATAATTGCCTATGGGATACTATATTTCTATAAATGGTGAGTGCCATTTGTTGTTACATGGTCACATGACACAACATGTACTCTTAATCTTTCCCATGGTGAGCCTCGTAACGCTGCATGCTCCATGCTCCATTCATAGCTATTCATAACCTTACCTTGCTCAATCTGATGACACACTTGTAGAGTAGCTGCATTGTCACATCACTCGCATGGCCACTGGTAAAGTAGTTATGAGCCTCAAATGACTTATACTCTTTTTTTTTTCAGTAAGTGATAACTCGTTTTGTTGACAGCACTGAATAGTTTACAATGTCAGTGTGTCACACAACTGGTAGTAGGTCATCGTCTGTGTTTTTCTGTACTGGTGCTCAGTATGTAGGGGTCAACTCCATCGTACGCGTTGATCTTTGCTTCGTAATGCGCACGATTGGACCCATCAACCCGGCAAAATATGATGGGCAGAACTCCTTCTGTTTAGACTTGTGTATATTTGAATTCTTCAAATATTGGAACAAATAGTAGGATATGTCAATTCGCTTTGATTTTAATCTAAATTATTGAAAATTTCAAAGTATTCGCAAGGAACGAATAAATGCAAATTAATTCGTATGTACGCCTGTAAAGGTGATTTCACTGCAATGTATGAATGCTAAACCGTGAAAGCACCTAATCAAGAGAAATGCGCTCTGCCGCGAAACCCCCCTTCAAATATAAAGGGGCCCTGCAACACTTTATGACCATTTTAGAAAATGCTGCCCATCGGTAGTCAGGGCCACCGAGGACACACAAACCAAATAATATAGTGCAGCACGCAGCATGCGATTCACAATAAATTCTCAGTCAGCTAAAAATTGCTCACTTCTCTAGGCAAATAGCTTCACAAGCTCAGAAAGCACGCGTGACGCATTTTTTTCCCCTGTGCCATCTCTCCCTGCTTCGCTTCCAGCATTTTTGTCGGGATGAGGAGAGAGAATGCACTTGCAGCGTGCGACAAAGCTTTGCAACTCCGCGCATATTGGACGGATTAGAAATATTTTTGCGGCAGTGAATTCATGAGGCAATCAGCTTCCTAATGAATCTATTCTATGGCTATTTGAAAAAGTGTCGCATGACTTCCTTACATAAAAAAATCCTTCAAATCGACTCATTTTATTAAGCTTGAAAGCTTGTTATGAAGGCTTATATGCTCTAGGCATAATAAATTTTAAAATGTTACATATTTCAAGTGTTATGACACGCATCCTGCTGAAAGTCAAATCCTGCTACTACGCAGATTTGTTTCGACTGTCTTTGAATGAAAAAGAAAAGTAATTTTCATAAGGGCCCTACTTAAGTTTTAAAAAAAAATATTGTGCAGGTTAACTAGGTCATGATAAATATGCCTATTTTTCTTCATATGTCATATATACTATTCGAATTCGGTTCGAAATTATTCGACCAAAATCACTATTCGCTTCGAACCAAAAATTCACTTTGGCAGGTGCTGTCATTTAAACATGACAGCTTGCGCATTGCAGAATGAGCGTCTTATCACGTAGACAGACTGTAAAAAATGGCGATCAAACACTTGCTCACACGCTTTGGCATGTTTGTGTGCATCCATCACAGTTATCCAACATGGGTGGACACCACTAGCAGATGATAGTGTGATGTCATGTGAAAACTATGTGTATATGGTAGTTGAATATGACTTGCTTTTTTTACAGATACAATGGTATGCACAGGATGCTGTGCAACACTAGACCACATAGTGAGCTTCCTCTTTCGGCGCTTGTCGAAGGGGTCTTCAAAAGGACCGCCTGAGCCCTGCCTTCGTGTCCTGGAGCTGCATCCTGAAATATTGCAACAGGTTGACAGTTATTTCTCTTTCATTGAGACGTTTTTCTCTCATTTTGCATGTTTTGCTTTAAAGGTAATTTTAAAAGGAAAAGAACACTAAATTAAACTTCAAAAACGCCAAGTAAAGCCATGTTACCCCACAAGCAGACTTTGAAGGCTTCAATATGCAATAAAATGGGGCTGGCATCATCATAATATTTTAGATTTTAATTATGGCTACTCTTAGGGCCTAGGTAATTTGGTAATGTTATACCGGTTTCACATGGGCGCTTTTGTTCACAATTGCCTCGACTATTTAGATCTTACTCTTCTTGATCATGATCATGTTAGTCACTGCTACACGGTACAGCCTAATCCGGATCAAGTTTGGTGCAAACATCAGCCGAATTGTGATCACGGAGTTAAATCATTATGTGCAGATCGTGATAGTTTTGATCCTAATCAAGCCTTGTCACGATTAAATGCAACCATGCTTATTTCGATCAGGCCTAATACCGATCGGCCATAACTGAGATCATAAGTGCCCGTGTGCAAGCAGTACATTTGAACCCCTTTATAAGAGGCATGCTCCGGGCAGCAATTCTTGTCTTCTCTTACATGAGATGTCTCTTATAAGCAGGGTACCTCGTATGCATTTTCCTATCAACCCCTATTTTATTGTAGACATTTGAATTAACCAAAAGTATGAATTATCAGAGTTTGAATCTTCGCAAGTCTATTGTACAGACAGTAGTATTTAAAAATGTCGTACATTTACTGGTGTTCCAATGTGACTTGGTGTGAAATGGGAAAAATTGAAGTTCTACCTTCTTTTAATTTGGTAAGATCAATTTTTACTGTCTGCCAAATGAAAAGGAATAGTTTCGAAACAACACATTATTAAGCCTCACTGGTATGATCCTGTGTAGTGTGTTTTAAAATCATGAACCACCTTTCAGGCCTGGTGAAAAAAACCCATGCCTTGGAAAGCAGACATTTCTCTGAACAGCTCAGCCAAATCTTGCAGTTGTGCATGGCAAGGGGAGTTTCATACCTGCCAAGTCTCTCCCGGGTTGGCCGGGAGACTTCCAGATTTTGACCATTTTTTCAGTTGTACGGTTGTCATGAAAACCTCCCGGAAATCAATTTCTGTGCGTGATCTGGCCGCATTGACAAAAAAGCAGCTTAATCTGCTCCAGGCTTTTCCAACCTATATACCCCATTTTATTAAACATGAGTTTAAGAGGCGTTCATGTAAACGTACAGTATAATCAGTGATGCAAAACCATGGCAGACACGAATTCTTGAAATTCACCAGCCAAATTTTACTATGTACATTAGACCTCAATTCGAATGTTCCGAGCACATTTCCTAATTGTACATTAGGCCTCAATTCGAATGCTCCAAACACATTTCCTAATTGCGGGGGGGGATACAAACTTTAGTATGGAAACCGTCAAATGAAGGCCGAGAGCAGCATACTCGAAGCTTCGGAAGTACGCGTGCGACCGGCGCACGCACTGTCTTTTACAGTGCGTGGGATGGGATTGTCGTTGCCACAACCGCTGTGGACAAAACCGCGGTCACTCTTGACACGACCATGTATGGCGACGACGTAACTGACAGAACCCTAAAAGTGTGCGCTCAACCAGTCTAAGCAACGCTACTTTTCGCAAACTCTGCATCTACCCCCCCCCCCCCCCCCCCCCTTTCATGGGGCAAAGTACACATGAGAGATAAGCACGCGTCGGCGCCGAGCGCGGGTGGCTTATTTTTCTTTGAGTGTTCATATATATAGATACATATACATATACGGTGAAGGACAGTGGCGATGGCGACGGCAAAAAAAAAAAGAGACAGCCTGGACTGTTCATATAAAATAAAAGAGGGGCCAGATGCGTTTTGGCGTTCCTGTCAAAAGAGTCTAGTAGTAAGCAAAGCTTTGACCCGCCCTTTTGCGGCAGCCAGCTGCGTTGTCTGATCCATTCACGTGTGTCCCAGGAAGACACACGCGAATTGTTTTGACTGAAATAGATTTTGCTAGTTTGTGGATCCTTTGAGACTCTCACCTTAGGGAAAAACTCTACCCTCGTGTGTTCGGCCACTCCTAGCCACTATAAGACCGCTACGCTGATGCTGGCACTTGCGATTGAGACCTCCCTCCCACCCCCTTTTGTTCTTTACGATGTTTGTCTTTGTTTTTTGTTTTTTGGTGCCCCTCATCCCCCGTTGCGGAAATCTCCCGGATTCAGAGTCCTCTAAGTTGGAAGGTATGGAGTTTAGAAGCAGAGCGTGAAGTTACCATCATCTCAGGCTCTCTCTTTCCATATAGAGGCGGGTGCTTGCTCTCGTTGGAGCTGCTGACAACTGCTGTTGAAGGTCACACTGCGGGCTATTGGCCAATACCTAGCATAAATCAAGAGCAATGTTTGTTTTGGGTGGGCTTCTTGCTGTGGTGTGCTACCACTTATTTGCGCCATGATTCATGGTCTGCTAACCCTACATAGCAGCCGTGGTTGTGCAGAGAAATTGCAACAGAAGAAGGAAACTGGAATTAATTGCACATGCTCAAGATCACGATACATACTGACGCAACTTCTTTTTCCCATTACATCTTTCCCTTGTGTTGCTTCCAGCCTGCTCGTTGGCACGCGTGAAGAAAAAGCATTTAAAGCATGCAACATATCCCTGTGACTCCGCTCATTCTTGATGGATTCAAATAGATTTTGTGGAAATTGATTCGTGACTCCAATACTGAAGTCATTTGATGAGTAGTACTGGTAAAGAGTTTAAATAAAAAAAATAGAAAGTGTGGTTGCCAACTATCTCTCTCATAACTCGTCTGCCATCTGTGGTAGGCCATATAACTCATTCTCGATGTTCTGTGTCCATGTGCTTTGAGTCGCCGACTATTTTGCTCTTGCGCTGCCATTTTCTAGCGTCGTTGTTAGGCCAACTGGTACACGTACATGTATGCATAACCTGGCTCATGATTAACCCTTCAGATGAGACCATCCAATGACAGTTCATAAAGCTAAGCATTATTTTATTCATCATCATCCTTTTGAACCTGTCTACTACCGGATGAAAGCTTCTCCCAATAATCTCCTCTCCCCTCCCTACCCCCTTGCATCTTTTCATGCTTGTTCAAGACGAGCCGGGCATTTGCTGTCTGCTTGAGCAGCATTCGACTGCAAGTCTAATGCGCGAGGTGATGTTATCACATGTCGCCTCGCTGCGACAGAAATGGACAGGCTCGTTTGATCTCTGCTTCAGTCTTGCTCATCACCCCTGTCACATGCTTTTATTCATGTGTGTAAAATAAGAAGCGCGAGGAGATGTTATCAATTTGTACTTAAACTTTATACAGTGGGGTCTCGTTTTGGCGAGAGCGCCACGCTCTTGGAGTGAGCGAGCACAGTAGACGCGGTCGGAACAAACCCAACAACACACACATTTATTTCACCGCTTTAGAATGACAATATCGTCAGCCGAATTATTATAACATTAACAGCGATCAACACGCTAAGACATCCTTACACATTATTAAACAACACTCAACAACATGACAAACAATGCGGTGTTTCCAACGACTGACTCACCACAAAGGCGCCCGGCAGACAGCCCGCGGTGCTGTGCACCGGAGCCTCCCTGCGAGAGGCGATGAGCGAGTCTCTTTCCACTTTAGATCGGGCGCCCGCCTGATCTAAAGGGTACAGCTATATCCATACATCCAATCTAACCATGATGATGATAGTGGTGATCAACGCCCGTCAACACAACGCCACCTACCGCTCAATAGTTGACCCCAAAATACGGCTTTTGTGCAAGACACAAGCATCACGCGACGCAAACAACTTTACAGGGGGTGCTGCAACCCCACAATATGAACATAGCAGTGATGCTGATGGCAAAAACCCATGGAAGTGTCCATATACAAATTGCTATCGCGATAAAAAATTGAGCCATTGCACTCTGTGAAGGTGGATGACTAGTTGGCAGCCTGCAATAAAACAGTAGTCAGTCATGGTGTTAATTACGCCTCAAAGTCAACATTGGTCATGCAGCTCAAGTCAACATGGTGCACACTGTAGCCCAGGCAGACAGTGCATGTTGTCTGCAAAAAGCTTAGTCGTGAGTTGTAATTGTGTATTCGCTATCTGTTACTGTTTTCATACTACAGCAAACTATGAGCATCAATCATTATGAACAACATTGGTTCACCATAAATAAGAAGATGTTCTTGTGACATCAGTAGAACATCCACTCTGATTGGTTACCTATGAGACATCACTAGGGTACCCAAAGTTCAGGGGGACGATGGAAGCTTGAAGAGATGACTTCAACAGGAGGGGGTGTCGCTGGAGCCAAGATTAGGACGAGGAGACCGGCATTCATAAGCATGCGCAGGGTTCCACTTAAGGGGGAAGGAGGGGAGGGTGAAGGTTCGTCGCAGTGCTTTCCCCTCTCTAGTAAGTGAATGTATGGGCAGACTTTGCACCTCCGCTTAGGTGACTAGGAAGGAGGTGCCCCTCCTTCGCTTGATATGTGGTGTTCAACGTCCCAAAACCACCATATGATTATAAGAAACACCGTAGTGGAGGGCTCCGGAAATTTCGACCACCTCGGGTTCTTTAACGGCACCCAAATCTGAATACACGGGCCTACAGCATCTTCGCCTCCATCGAAAATGCAGCCGTCGCAGCCGAGATTCGATCCCGCGACCTGCGGGTCAGCAGCTAAGTACTTTAGCCACTAGACCACCGTGGCAGGGCGCCCCCCTTCCCTTCTCCATGTGCACACCTGTGGTGGCGTTGATTAGATAGCAAGAGCCAAGTGCTCACTGCTCTGATGCACTGCAGCAACATTAGGTACTTGCTGGTTGTTTACATGCTTGAATGTTCACTTTGTCATAAGCAGTTTGTTGGGAAAACAGGAGGGCCAGTAAGTATTGGATGAAATGGGCACTGTGTAGACACATCGAAGACTTACTGAAAGCAGTGGCGTTCGCAGCCTTCTAGGTGGCACCAG